GCACAGGAAACACAAGACAGAAGAAAAAGGCAGTAGTCTTCATTCTGCCCCACCCCGAGTGGGGCGGGACTGAAGAGTCGCTGAATGGGGAAGGAAGTTGTTCAGTCACTCCAACTAGGGGGAACGATCCGGAAAGCGGAATTCGTGCCGCGAGCCTAGAGACTGACCTCTGTTCAGACCCCATCCTCATCTCTGCTTAAAACCCCAGCCCCCTCTCCCCCCAGAAATCACTCCATCGGTGAAGCTTACAACTTCCAGAAGTCCCTAGCACCTTTCAGTCTGATGTCTTGCGTCAAGCTTTGGTGAGTGGGGGATTGGGATGTCGAGTGGCAGCCTCAGACACTCCCCCAACACACAGGACACGCTCACAGAATGCCTAGGTGCCACAGTCCAGGTGCCACAGTCGGGACGGTCGGGGCGGGCGGAGATGTTGGAGATTGATCTCACCACCCCCAGTCGGGGGAGCAGTGCGGTCGTGGGGCATGGCCAGTTAGTGCACAAGACCCCTCTCTCAGGCCCAACGGTGCCTCCGCCCCCGTGCTGCCTCTCGAGGAATTGATAAACCCAAAGTATGTCGGCGAAGGCGGCTTCGGCTCAGTGTTCCGGGCACAGCACAGGACGTGGGGCTATGATGTGGCAGTCAAGATCGTGAACTCGTGAGTGACCTCGGCTGCAGCCGAGGTTTGACTTAGAAGGCGGGACGCAGCCTGAATGGGGAAGGGAGGGAGATCTTCCCAGGACGGGAACCTGACTGCAGCTCTCTCCCCGGTGTGTAGGGAGGCGATATCGAGGGAGGTGAAAGCCATGGCAAGTCTTCGTAATCAATACGTGTTGCTCCTGCTGGGGGTCACCGAGAACCTGGAGTGGGGCTACGTGTCCGGACCAGCTCTGGTGACCCGATTCATGGAGAATGGCTCCCTGGCTGGGCTATTGCAGCCAGAGTGCCCTCGGCCCTGGCCACTCCTTTGCCGCCTGATGCAGGAAGTGGTGCTGGGAATGTGTTATCTGCACAGCCTGAACCCAGTGCTCCTGCACCGGGACCTCAAGCCCTCCAACGTCCTGCTGGACCCAGAGCTGCATGTCAAGGTCAGCCCATCTAAGCTCCACTCCAGCCTTGGGACAATGCCCCGTTCCAGAGCTGTTCCAACCCCACGCACTGGATTCAGGACCTGTGGCAGCCCTGTCTATTGAATACCCTCATCCTTCCCCTCTGGACTCAAGACTGCCCAGGGAGTTTAAGCCAGGAGTTTAAGCTCCTGGCATATCAGGTGACAAAGGCCCTGACCCACCTGTTCACTTCCTCAGGCCCAATCCACCAGGCCTTCCTAGGAGCCATGGCAAACCCAGCCCAGTAGACTCACTTTTCCTCTGACCCTTTGTACCCCTTTTACAAAGCAGGACCTGTACCTTCTGGAGGGTGGGGACAGATTATTCTGGAGACTGTCCGGTTCCCTCAGTCTAATATCTCCTCCTTCCCTTCCTTTGCAGCTGGCAGATTTTGGGCTGTCCACATTTCAGGGAGGGTCACAGTTAGGGGCAGGGTCCAAGGAACCTGGAGGTACGGTGTCATACTTGGCCCCAGAACTGCTTGCTAATGTAAACCGGAAGGCCTCCCTGGCCAGTGATGTCTACAGGTAAGGTACCCACATCAAGTGTACATCCCAGATTTCTACCTCTGGGTCCTTGTTGGGATGGTATATTGGAGAGGAGTTTTGCCAGTGGTTGGCCAGGCTTCTATCTTGTGTCTCCTGCAGCTTTGGAATCCTCATGTGGGCAATGCTAGCTGGAAGAGAAGCTGAATGTAAGACTAGGCAGCCCTAGCTGCCTCCCTTTGAAGATCCCAAGCACTCCCTTTTCTTCTGAAACTGCCTCTACCCTCCTCACTGCCTCTACCCTCCTCACCTCCCCCTTGGGCAACACTCCCTGACCCTGCCTAACGTACAGCCTTTTCTTATCACCACCCTCATCCCACCCCAGTTGTGGGAAAGATATCACTGGTGCAAGAAGTAGTATGTGAGAAGCAGATCCGGCCCCCATTGAATGAGATACCACTGCCCAGCCCTGAGACTCCTGGCTTGGAAGATCTGAAGGAATTAATGCAGCACTGCTGGAGATCTGAGCCCAAGGACAGGCCATCCTTCCAGGGTAAGCTGGCCATTTCAATGGCAACTGGGGTAGCCTTGGGTCTGTCTGCAGGGGACTTGTCCCAGGGAAGGACATTCTGCTCACCTGCAATCCATTCTGCTGTCTTTCAGAATGTCGACCAAAAACTGATAAGGCCTTCTTCCTGGTCCAGGGAAAGATAGATGCTGCTGTCTCCAAGGTGAGAGACCAACATCAGCTCTCCATCAGGAGTTGGTCAGGGATGGCACATATGTCTCTTGTTCATCTATTGACTCCCCACTAGCCACTGTTCTATCATCCCCACCTTCCCACCCTACCCATGAGTTCTCAGGCAGCAGACTACAGACCAAGCTACTACTCCTTCAAGTTTAATCTGGCTCTTCCAACTCAAGTTCTTCCGTCCCTACAGGTGAAGAAGTTTCTGTCTGAGCAAGGAAGCAACAACAGGACGTTGTCTGCCCCAGAAACAAGTCAAAGAGGGACAGAAATGGATGGCCCTGGGGGAGCCACAGGAAGCCAGTTCTCTTGGACTGATTCCACAATTTCTGAGCAGCTGAACAAGATGAATCTGGAGGAGTCCCCCAGCTCAGTCCCTGAAAAATCCACAAGCCCTCCTGAGGGGAGTAGGACACAGGAAGAGCAGATTCAGCATGCCAGGACAGCAAGAAGATCTTCAGATTCAACGACTCAAATTCCCCAAACACCGGAGACCTTACCTTTCAGAAACCAGACGCGCAACCCTATCTTCACTAGGATTCCAGGTCCTGAACCACAAGGGAATCAGGTGAGACATTGGCAGGACTCAGGGATGCTCCAGGACTCCTGTAAATTCTGTTCCCTTAATAGGGAAAACCTGGGACTGCGGGGGGGCGGGATGTAATGGGAGAACCAGACCCCAGGACAGAAAGCTTAAGAACTATGTGTTGTTTTTAGGGATCTAAGAGATATGATGCCAACTGGTCTTCCAGAGACCCAAAGTCAAATCCAACAACAGGTACCTATTCCCTACTCTCCTCTTTTCCCCTACTCAATTTTCCACCACCTTCTTCTTCAACACCTATATGTAGATCCAGGGTATTTTTAGGGTGGGGAGAAGAACTAGAGATCATCTAACACAATCTTTTAATTTCATAAAGAAAGAAACTAACATCTACTGGGAGAGAATCCTGCTGAGGTCACACAACAAAGTCTGGACATGCCCCTGGGTATTCTGACTTTCCCCAGCACTAGTCCTACGAGAGCCCTAAATTCTGTTGTTAATACAGAAGTACAGCAGAACTCCCAGCAAAAACACCTAAATATAGGTTATTATTTTCTTGAGTTTCTGCAAAATCAATCCTAGAGAGGCAGCCTGAGGGAAAGGCACACTTTGACATAGCCACTGGTAGGCTCAGAGACTCCATGCTTGCATTTCCCCAGGCTGAACACAAGATGCCGCTGCCCCTCTGCCCCAAAGTGCCTACTAACCTCATCTTTTTGACCACTACCACTCTTTCTCTTAAAGGGTCTATTATCTTAGACAATTGCTCTGCGGTGCAGATTGGAAGCAACAATTCCTTGATCATACAAGAGAGAACTACATTGCCTAAGCAGGGCCCAACACCCTTCAGCATGGGTAGGGGCAGGAACCCCCCCAAAAAATAGATTCAAAAGAAGGCTTGCCAAAACTTGAAGACTCCAGTGAGCCACAGAGCCAGCATAATCACAATGGGAATTAAAGCACCAGAGCCTAAGTTGCCAGCAGAGGCTGAGGCAACCAGTGTCACCCCTCAATCCATGCCCAAACTGACTTTGTGATCTGCCTCCTAAAAAGTCAATAAATGTGATGGACTATAAACCAAGCCAGATGAGGGAGTCTGACGTGTAATTGTCCTCTGTTATGGGTGGGAGAGACAGGGATGGGGGCAGGGCAGGAGCTCAAAACCAGGGAATAGGAGGTGCTGCAACTGGATTGACCAAAGCAGGAAGGAGGATAATGGGGGTTGGGGATGGGCAACCTTGTGGCACACAAGGTCAGGGCACAGCCAGTGGCAGGAAGGAATCCTAGAGGCCTGACTGCCCTGGTGCTCTTATTTCAGGGTGGGGTGCTTCCTCTAGAGCTCAGGACTGACCCCACCTTAAGCCTAAACTCACAGATCCCCTTTTCTTCTGGATTTCAGAGACTCAGCTTTGGGTCCCTGGGGGAAGGGGTGTTTGTGGGAAATCAAAGATGCCAGCCCTTCTCCTACCCTACTGGAATCCCTGCAAGCCCTCTCCCATCAGCCCCCTTACTGTCGTATTCCCCCCCCCTCTCTCTCTCTCTCTCTCACACACACACACACACACACACACACACACACAAACACACAAGGCTACCACAGTGGCTCACAAACACCTTGCTTCCTAAGCTTGGGGAGCATTTTTGAAATGGAAAGCTATAGCTCACAAAGCTCCACACAGACTTCCCTGCTCCCAGAGCTGGACATGGTGAGAGTATGGACAATTCAGATTCTGCCACAACTGCTGCCAGAGAGGCCAGGAGTGGAGAGGAGTGTGTGTCCCTATTCTGACTTAGATTCCAGCCCCCAACTGGCCCACCAGGACTCACACTCTTCCTTATATTCTTGCCAGGCTTCACTCTAGCCCTCCTTCGGTCTCCCCACATCCAAATGTTCAGTTCCCATTTTGGCACATCCCATCAGGCAGACCCCACAGTCTCTCCCACTGTCCATATTCCCCTTTCTTGAGCGGACCGAGGACTGAAGGCGATAGTTCAGGAACACAATCCGACTCGGGGAGGAAGCCAGGGGAGTCGGCTCCGGCACGGGAAGGGGCCGGGCTGTCCTGTCGGGGAAGTGGGAGGGGGCCGTGGCGCCGAGAGGGAAGCGCCTGTCGCCCCAGGCTCTGAGCCACTAGTGTAGCACTGAGCCTGACTCCACAACCAGCTTCCCAGCTGCGGGAGTGTGGCGCGCTGTGAGTTGGGGGAAAGTGGGAACCCAAAGCCTTGCAGCGTCAACTCCAAGCCCTGTCTCCCCGGTGATGAAACTTTGCTAAGGCACCTCCACAGCCTGAGTTTGCGGGAAAGGCTGGGGTGAGCAGGGAGTCCGGTCACCGCCAGCTGGGAGCCAGTTGGGAGCGAGCTGGGAGGCCGCAGGGAGCGCCTGTAAGCAGACCGGGATTGCCTCAAGTTTGGGGGCGCAGAGGGAAGGGCCTTGGGGCAGGTGAGAAAGACACCGTGGAGCCGGTTGGGCTTTGAAAGTAATCCAGCGTCCGGTCCACCCCAGGCCTGGGGCTCGGGACAGGGCTACCATGGCGCGCCTCTTCAGCCCCCGGCCACCCCCCAGCGAAGAAGACCTCTTCTATGAGACCTACTACAGCCTGAGCCAGCAGTACCCGCTGCTACTACTGCTGCTGCTGATCGTCCTCTGCACGCTAGTGGCGCTGCTCCTCGTCGCCTGGGCCAGCGGCAGGGTGAGATGGGCCTCTGGTTCTGAGGCATGCTCCAGAGCGGCGACTCTGCTGCAGCCCAGAGAAGGATAGCTGCCTAGTTGACATTTGGGGAGTTGGGATTTATGGGATCTTCTTTTTCAACGTTCTCTTTGCTGGGAGCGGGAAAAGAAGCATTGAGCCTTGTTATGAACTGTGGTGACCCTGGGCAAGTCACAACACCCTGTGGGCCTTGGTCTCTGAGTCTGCCCAGGAAGGTTAACTGAGTCCTGGATATTTCCCATTTCACTCTAACAGAATTCTAACAGACCTTATAAGTTTTTGTGGTCTGCTGATTCTAGAACAATCCAATACCGAATTTTCCAGTTTTCCAGAGGGGAAATTCTACTCAAGCTGCTGGAGAAAATAAGTTTCTGGTTTTCTCTCCCACATTGGGAATGTGGGATAGACTCCCAGAAGGCACCTTCCATCCCGCTTTCATTTAGTCCCCAAAGAAACCCATTTTTAGTTTTTCCTTTGAGGAAGAAGAGGTCTTCAATTGCATTTCTGGTAATATACTGCTCCAGGGTTTCTTTTCACTCCTCGGAGAAAAGGTGGGGAAGTCACTGGGTGCGGCCAATTCACCCGAGTCCACCCCCAAAGTCCGGAAAGAGGTGGGGACAAAGGGCGGGGACCGAGGGGGACTACGCGTCAGGGCAGGGGCAGGTGGCGAGATCTTAGTCCTCCGCCGCTAGGGAGGTGCGGGACCAAGGCGGAGCTCAGGCGCCCCCTGCTGTTTCCCGCCAACCCCAGGCTTCCAACCTCTGACTCCTGGGGCGGGGATTCTTCCTAGCAAATCATCCAAATCATCTGATTTGGAGACTTTCTTTCCTAAGTGCCATCTTGTGAGTTAAGATTGGTCACTTATTTCCAGAGGCCAGGAGGGTGCTACAATTCCCGTTTGAAAGAAAACTGAGGCGTGGAAAGATCATAGATTGACAAACAGCCAGCCTGGCGTTGAAGCCTGTTCTGGGTAGATGTTGCAGGCTTGCAGCATCATGCAAACAAAATAATAGGTCGAACGATAGGAAATTACCCATCCCTGTCGATAAAAACAGCAGGACATAGACAATTTCTTAGAGTTCAACCTAATATGAATGGCAAGTAGAGGGGTCATGCTTCTTTTGTACTTAGGTTTGAGGTGCCCTTTCAGAACTGCCGTGAGGGGTTATCTATTCTTCCTCTATCTAGTCGTCTCTCCTCACCTTTGGTGAGCTTCCCAAGCTTTTTTATCTTGCCTAATGCACTCTTTCCCCACAGGAGCTGACCTCAGACCTGAGCTTCCTGACCACAGTGCTATGCGCTTTGGGTGGCTTCTCCCTGCTGCTGGGCCTAGCTTCCCGGGAGCAGCGACTCCAGCGCTGGACTCGACCCCTGTCAGGCCTTGTGTGGGCTGCGCTGCTGGCTCTAGGACACGGCTTCCTATTCACTGGAGGCATAGTGAGCGCCTGGGACCAGGTGAGAGGGATGGCAGGCAAGGGATGGAGGACCACCTTAGCCTGGACCTGGCCCCAGGCCTTGTGAAGCATAAGTAGGCCTTTTGCTACTCCCACCCTGCTCCAGGTGTCCTTTTTCCTCTTCATTATCTTCACGGTGTATGCCATGCTGCCCTTGGGCATGAGGGATGCTGCTGCTGCAGGTCTCACCTCTTCTCTCTTGCACCTGCTGGTCGTGGGGCTGTACCTTGGGCGGCAGCAGGACTCCCAGCCTTCACTGCTGCCACAGGTAAGAACATAAGTAGCCCAGGCAGTGCCCAGGGCCAGCTCTGCTGCATTTGCTGAGCTATGACTGCGGTAGGGTGCAACACTGAGTGCAAGATACAAACACAAATCCCCACAGATACAAATACAGATCCCCTTGGTGGAGCTGATACACCAGTGCAGATACCTACTGATACCAGAAGAGGGCTCCGGACCCAAAGGGAAGGACCTCATGGCTCTTAAGAGAGCCAGATATGGAGATACAGATGATGGAACCATCACAGAGAATGTAAATCAGGACTTGAGTAGTTCTGTGCAGCTACAGTGGGCAGAGGATGAGGATGGTGGGATGGTATTCCATATATGCAGAAATTTCTAGACCTAAGAGCCCATAATGGACCAACAGTCAAGAATCTACAGCAGGGAAGATGAATGACCCTAGGGATGCTTAGGTCACTAACTATAGAGCCCAGAGGGTCTTGGAGACCAATTCCAACTACAGACTCCCCCAACTTCACCTGGGCACACACCTGTAATCCCAGAAACTTGAGAGGCTGAAACATGAGGATCGAAAGTTTAAAGCCTCCCTCTGAGGGTACTCCTCACCTACAGCTGGCAGCAAACGCAGTGTTCTTCCTGTGTGGCAATGTGGTGGGAGCATACCACAAGGCACTGATGGAGAGAGCATTGCGTGCCACATTCCGGGAGGCACTCAGTTCCCTGTATTCTCGCCAGAGGTTGGACACGGAGAAAAAACATCAGGTCAGCTGGGCCTAGAAAGAGGGTTGGGACCAGTGCTCAGAGAAAAGAGTTGTTTAGATTACACAAGTGGGTTTCTTCACAAGCTAAGTGACTCATTTGATCTTCTATGGCATTTTCTCCTTTGTATAAAATGTGGCTATTGCCTATCTTGGAAGGTTGTTGTTAAACAAGCTGAAACTTAAGATGGTTATGAAGTGAAGAATTCTAATCGAGGTGTTAGTACTGAGAGTTCAGTCCCTAAAGGTGATTAGTCAGAATGGGGTGCTGGAGCATGGCTGGCCGTGTGCCCTGGTGGGCCTCTGGGGGAGCATCCTAGTAGAAGTGGAGCATTCTGTGGGCTTCTGGGAGACTGGGGGGCTGGGGCTCCTGGTTTTAGGGTATAGGATGGTTGGTGCTCAAAATGACCTCCTCTAGGAACACCTTCTCTTATCCATCCTACCTGCCTACTTGGCCCGAGAGATGAAGGCAGAGATCATGGCACGGCTGCAGGCTGTACAGGGGTCACGACCAGAAAGCACGAACAATTTCCACAGCCTCTATGTCAAGAGGCACCAGGGAGTCAGGTATGAGGAAGGATGGCTGAAGGGGAGAGCCTGTGGGCTGAGACCCTGACCCCACTGATGTGGTCTATCCTGTGCAGTGTACTGTATGCTGACATCGTGGGCTTCACGCGGCTGGCCAGCGAGTGCTCCCCTAAGGAACTGGTGCTCATGCTCAACGAACTCTTTGGCAAATTCGACCAGATTGCCAAGGTCAGAGAGGGCCTCCTTCCCCACTCAGAGATCCTCAAGTACCCCATCCTGGGGAGCCCCTTCCAAGGATAGCTTTTGTCTTCTAAGATCCCAGTCCTACCTCAGAGCCCCAGATACTCCCGTGGAATTAGGAGACTCTCTCAGATATTCCTAGTCTGAAGCTACTCACCATACACCTCAAACCTGAAGAGACTTTTCAACCTCTCTCCAGATGTCCCAACCATGATGCCCCCAAGTGTGCTTAAAGCTCCAGCATAGGTATCTCTACACTTTATGTTCCAAATCCCAAATGCCAGTAATCCAAGATTCTCAGGGGGATGAGGCAGAAGGATGGCAAGTTTGAGGCCAGCCTAGACAACTAAGAAAGACCCTGTGTCAAAAATTTAAAATATAGCTAGGTGCGGTGGCACAAGCCTGTAATCCCAGCAACTTGAGAGGCTGAAACATGAGGATCACAAGTTTAAAGCCAGTCTCAGCAATTTAGTGAGGCCCCAAGCAACTTAGCAAGATCTTGTCTCAGAATTTAAAATAAAAGAAAATAAAGGGCTGGGGATGTTGCTTCGTGGTTAAGCACCACCCAATTCAATCCCTGGTACCAAAAAAAAAAAAAAAAACTCAAGTAAACCTTAAAAAGGGCTGGGAATGTGCACCCCTTGTTTCATTCTTAGTACTGGATGAGGGCATGTATTTCTAAAAAAAATTTTTTTTAAAATCTAGAGAGATTTTCAGGTCCTCCAAGTTGAGAGAAGTTGGAGGGGGAAGAGAAATTTCTGTCCTCTGCAACCTCAGCAGCACTTACTCAAACCCCAGGATTCAATCTATGTTATTGCACCCCTTCAAGCCCTTCCATACTGAGACTGCTTCCATCTAAATCTAGTTACACCCTATACACACCAAACTAGGGAGAACCAGAGACACTCCAGAATTTGGGAATTCTTTCTTAAAAAAACATCCACAGGAGACACTTTAATTAGCCCCATATCAAATTAAGGGAGTCCCTAGATCTGACCTTGATATTCAGAACCTCAAAGACTCTCAGGAATACCACATTCACTCCCCACTTTTCTCAACTCCCTCCGACCCCTCTGACCTCTAATCAAGTTCCTCTATACACTCCCCTCACCACATTACCAGGAACATGAATGCATGCGGATCAAGATCCTAGGGGACTGTTACTACTGTGTCTCTGGGCTGCCCCACTCGCTGCCAGACCATGCCATCAACTGCGTGCGCATGGGACTGGACATGTGTCGGGCCATCAGGTTAGCATGGGCAAGTGGGCAGGAGGGATACGGAGGGATGGATGTGGGAGGGGACAGTCAGGGTGGTGGAATTCTCCTTGAGAGAAAGAGGAATGTGGAATGGACAAGGCTAAAGGCAGGACTCAGACTGTACCACACACTCTGCTCAGGAAGCTGCGGGCAGCCACTGGTGTGGACATCAACATGCGTGTAGGTGTGCACTCAGGCAGTGTGCTCTGCGGAGTCATCGGGCTGCAGAAGTGGCAGTACGATGTCTGGTCCCATGACGTCACGCTGGCCAACCACATGGAAGCTGGTGGTGTACCAGGGTGAGACCTGAGGCCCCAGGCAACCACACAAGAGATTGCCCACATGCTGCCACCCTTTTCATAGTTCCGTAAGATGAACACAACCCCATGTGGAGCTCATGGAGATCCTGGGGCATGGGGGGGCACCCCTTGTAACACAGGGCCTTTCTTGAAGTCGCTCTTGCAGGAATGATCTTTGAAAGAAATGGAAGGTTTGGAGGCCCTCCTTGATGACTCCTACTACCCTCTCCTTCCAGACGAGTGCACATCACAGGGGCTACCCTGGCCCTGCTGGCAGGGGCTTATGCTGTGGAGGATGCAGCTGTGGAATCCCGGGACCCATACCTTAGGGAGCTAGGAGAGCCTACATACCTGGTCATTGATCCTCGGGTAAAAGACCAGGAACCCCATGGACTACACCATACTAACCACCTACAGGCAATAGGCCTGATCTCTTCTTCTATGTCAGGGATTGAGTTCCTGGGTACTAGTGGAGGGCAGGGACAAAAGCCTCTCAGGGGACTGGGGAGAAAAGGGGAAATGTCTGTGATCTTTATTCTCAGTCTTCCTGTGCCCCAGGCTGAGGAGGAGGATGAGAAGGGAACTGCAGGAGGCTTACTGTCCTCTCTGGAGGGCCACAAGATGCGCCCATCACTACTGATGACCCGCTACCTGGAGTCCTGGGGTGCGGCCAAGCCTTTCGCCCACCTGAGCCACGTAGACAGTCCTGTGTCCACCTCTACCCCTCTCCCGGTATGTGCACCTCCATTATAAACCCCAGCACAGCAACCCCCATTGTCCTCAAGTCCCACTCCTAGCATCCCTCACCACTGGACCAGTGAGTCACTGGAAGATTGTGATATCCCAAGGTCATGAACTGTCTGGTAGCCCCAGCCATTGGTCCAGCCTGTCCTTGCACTTCCTTTTGTGGAAAGAGCAAAGACCACTGCCCTCGAGCTCACCTCAGAGAAGATGCGACATGTGCATTGTTCCTCAACCTCCCCTTGCCTTGACACCACAAAGGAAGTATACACTCTGCTTCCTCCTGTCTCACTCCAGTGCTGCACACCCATCACAGCAGGAGATGTCACTGCTTAATGCAATTCCTACAACTACACACTCTCTTCTTTTAAAAAGAAATTTTAGTTGTAGATGAATCTAATATCTTTATTTTTATGTATTTATTTTTATGTGGTGATGAGGATCAAACCCAGGGCCTCACGCCTGCAAGGCAAGCGCTCTACCACTGAGCTACAAACCCCACCCCTCTTCTTTAACTCCCACTAGAAATGGGGAGATGGGGTCAAATTAGTTGTTGCCCCAATTCCCCAGAATTTGTGCATGGATAAAATGAGTGGAATTGAAAATCACACATGGCCTTGAAGCAGGAAGTCACCATGAACAGGAAGGGTAGTAGGGAAGGAGAGGTAGTCACCCACTCCTTGTCTAGGTGGAGCTAGGGTAGGGCCAATCACTGCCAGATTCCTTATGTAGCACCTGGAGGTAACTAGTGATCCACATATGGGTAGAGGAGCCTGCGTCTACCCTGCAGGCTGGCTCTTGAGGTTGATGCTCCATGATGAGCTGTCAAAACCCCCTCATACAGGGACTCTGGTCATGTTCCTAAAGGCATGTGCTAGGGTAAAGTCCCTGTCCTCTCAGCCTGCTTTCTCTCATCTTTCTTAGACTTCCCCATATCTGTTCAGCATTCACATCAACTTTCCACAGATCTCCCTGGAATCTTCCCTGTTGGATAGACCTGGTTGCATTTATAGGATGTCTTCAGAGTGCTTTTTCTTTTTTCCATTCTTCCTCCTCTCCCATCCAGCAGGAAAGAAGGCCAAAGATCAATGAACACTGGGAAGTCAGGGAGCATTGGCAGCAGTGGTTCAGGAGAGGACTAATTCTTAGTCTTAGCATGGGGAAAGGGAAAGGTCAAGGATTAAACTGGCAAAAGGCAGAGGAAGGAAGAATTCAAAGCCCCACTGACTATTTCAGGATGAAATCTCCAGGGTAGGAGTGGAGTTGTGTACGGGGTTTACCATAAGCCCAGTACCACAAGATGACCTTGGGTGCAATTCCTGTGGTAGGAATGCCCACCAGAACCTACGATAGACCTCCTGGAATATATCAGAGTGGAGGAACAGTCACCCCTCTATCTCCTAAGGCAGGACCTTGCTAGCCCAGGAATTCCACTTCTCAGTCCCTGAAGTTCCAGGAACTCCATCAAATGTTAGAAATCCTGCCAGGCACTGTGGCAAATGCTTGTAATCCCAGAAGCTAAGGAGGCTGAGGCAGGAGTTTGAGGCCAGCCTGGGAACTCAATGAGACCCTGTCTCAAAATAAAAGATAAAAAGGGATGGGGATGTAGCTCAGCGGTAGAGCCCTTCTGGGTTCAACCCCCAGTACTTCCTTGCCCCCCCCCACACAAAGAAGTTCTGAGAGTCACCATCAACCTACTTTGTTTTAAACAAGGTAAAACTTGGTTGAGTGTGTTCAGTATTTGTATTCACCACTCATCTTTGTATGCCCTCCAATTTGTGTGTGCGGGGGGGGGGGCAGGGGCAAAGAACTGGGAGCACTAAGGATGGAGCTAGGGCCTATGCATGCTAAGCAAGCACTCTACCACTGAGCTATACCCGAAGGCCCCCTTTATATTAAATTTTTTTTAGTTGTTGTTGGACCTTTATTTCATTTATTTACTTATATGTGATGCTGAGAATCGAACCTAATGCCTCACACATGCTAGGCAAGTGCTCTACCACTGAGCCACAACCCCAGCCCATCCCTCCATATTTTTGAGCACCTATTGTGGCAGGTACTAGGCTAATTCTTCTTCTTCTTCTTTTTTTTTTTTTTTTTTTTTTTGGTGCTGGGGATTGAACCCAGGGCCTTGTGCATACAAGGCAAGCACTCTACCAACTTAGCTATAGCCCCAACCCTAGGCTAATTCTTGAGAAGATTAAAATAAATGTTTTCCCTGCCATTAAATAACTTACAGATATTGGAGGATAGGTAGGTAGTTTGAAAAAAAAAAAAGGTGCATATATCAATGCCTACATGGGTCCATACAATATCCCCTCCCCCAACCCCTCGTTCCACATACCACGTTTTGGTTTAGGGGAAGATGTAACCCTGTGACCTTATTTCCTTCACATGAACCAAGGGAACAGGAAGGAATGAGGAATGGTCACTATACTGCTTGACTGGACTGTGGCCCACTGTACTTCATACTCTCCTTGAGCAGTTGCTTTGCATGCTCATTTTCCTATTTCTTCATACCCTGCAGTCCTTTCAGTGAAGAAGAGAATATCTATAATCAGGTTGATTTCCTTTCCTCTTCTCTTTTCTTCTTCATTCCTTGTTATCCACCCCCACCACTTCTCAGCTCAACCTGGCTAATCTCACAAAAGGTCAGAGTCACAATATTCTGAATTGTCACTTCAGTTTAAATTAACAAAATTTTTTTTTCCCTCCTTTGGCAACCAAAGGGGAAGGGAAAAGCCCCGCCCTTGAAATTAAGCAAGCCTTAAGAAAACAAAAAAAAAAAACAAAAACCCAACAAGAAAAAAAAAAAAAAAAGGGCCCCGGAAGTAAAAAGTAAGGAAAACTATGAGGAAATAAAGAGTACAAGACCCTGGGGGTCTCTAGTCAAGAGGAAACTTTAAAGAATAAATGGTTTGAACTGTTCCTTTAGGGAAGAAGGGATTTGGTGGGGAAGAGAGAAATATCAGTAGAAAAAGATGAAAAAGCGAGATCAAATCTCCAAGGTCAAGGACATGCACAGAGCATACAGTACAGTTTGTGATCTCCCTCACTGTGGAGGTGACACTCACTGCTCCCTCATGTTCTCCCAACAGGAGAAGGGCCTGGCTTCTTTCAGCCCCCAGTGGAGCCTGGACCGGTAAGGAGACCTGAACCGTTTTGACAATGGAGCTGACTGGGTGACCTATCTCCATTCTCCCTGGTGCGGGGGCTGCAGTTTTTGCTCAGATACTTTGAGAATCTCCATGGTGATAGATTTGTTTGTCACCATGCAGGAGCCGGACCCTCCGGGGACTAGATGATGAGCTGGACACTGGAGATGCCAAATTCTTCCAGGTCATCGAACAGCTCAACTCACAGAAGTATGGAAAACAAAGATGACTGGGTGGGCTGCAGGCCCCAAAGTCATATGGTGGAAGAGGGATGATGTTCCCCTGAGGGCCTGGAGGGAAGTGAGGAATTGTCCTGGAGGGAAGACCCACCTGACCACCTCCTCCTGCTCTCTGCTTTGCCCTGCCCTCCCCTGCCCTGCCTGGTCTTCTCTGGTGCTTACTGCCCTCTGCCCTACCTCCCACCAGACAGTGGAAACAGTCAAAGGACTTCAACCTGCTGACACTGTACTTCCGAGATAAGGAGATGGAGAAACAGGTAGGCTGGGGAGAGGGGCACCAAAGGATTTCCCATCTTTATTTCCTTGGTCCTTCCAGAGAGGTCAGGCCTTGTATGTCCCCTCCCCTCCCCAGGTCTGCTAAGTCTTTGACCCTGGGGTGGGGATGAGGGCTTTTGCCTTTCTCATAAAGGACAAATTATCCAGTAGATTGGATGATTATTGGGTGGGAATAGGAGGTATGGGCACAGTTCCTTTAAGAACTGGTAGGGGCTACATGGAACTGAACTGGAGGGAGAGCTATGAGGCTAGTGGTAGGCAACTGTCAATGCCCACCTACCTGTTCCCTTGCAGTACCGGCTATCTGCCCTTCCTGCTTTCAAATACTATGTAGCCTGCACCTTCCTGGTTTTCCTGTCCAACTTCATCATCCAAATGCTGGTGACAAACAGGTGAGAGCACCAGTCAAGGGAGGTCCTGGCTGTCATACACTGACTGATCGCCTTGCCCTTCCTGACCCCTGACCCACATATTCTTCCTTCACCCCTTCCCTTCAGCTTCAGGCACTTACTAAGGAAACGTGTTCTGGAGAACCAGGGATAACCACAGCCCTCATCTAAATATTATGTACCCAAGCACTTTCACCTGCTCACCTCTTTGGGCGCTAACACCATTCCCATGAGAGCAGTGGTATTCTCATTGAGAAGCCCAAATCTCATAGTAAATGAATAAGTTTAGAAAGCTCACCCTCATAGGGGCTGGGGATATAGCTCAGTTGGTAGAGTGCTTGCCTTGTATGTACAAGGTCCTGGGTTCAATCATCAGTGTGCGCGCGCACACACACACACACACACACACACACACGGGACACCCTTGTTCCTAGTCCATTGCTATGAGGGGTATAAGTCTTGTTCAAAACTCACCAGAGCTGGAAGCAATGGTACACATTTTTAATCCCAGCCATTTAGGAAGTTGAGGAAACAGAATTGCAAAATCAAGGTCAGCCTGGGCAACTTAGTGAGAAACTGTCTCAAATAAATTTTTTTTTGTAGTTGTAGATGGACAGAATGACTTTATTTTATTTGTTTATTTTTATGTGGTGCTGAGGGTCAAACCCAGTGCCTCACACATGCAGGCAAGTGCTCTATCACTGAGCCACAGCCCCAGTCCCTCAAAGTAAAATTTTTTTTAAAGAGCTCAGGATGGGGGCTGGGATTGTGGCTAGGCCGTATAGCACTCACCTAGCACGTGCAAGGCCCTGGATTCTATCCTCAGCATCACATAAAAAAATAAACAAAATACAAATACCTATTGTGTCCAACTACAACTAAAAAATAATTTTTAAAAGGGGAGCAGGGCTCAGGATGTCACTAAATGGTAAAGTACTTGCCTAGTATGTTCAAGGCCCTGGGTTTAATCCCTAGCACTCACTCTCCCCATATGTGCGTGAGCATACACACACACACACACACACACACACACACACACACACACACTCAGCCAGGTTAAAGAGCTTTGGCCCAGAAATTGGACTGATACAGTCTCAGCCACTCTTGTGAGCACCTACCTCCCTTCAGTGTTGTCCCCACCCTATTGGTTCCTGTTCCACCTAAACCCTGTCCTAGACCCTTCAGCTTTCTCAAAATACCAGAACATAATGTTCTTTATCAGCCTGGACCACTTTAACTAAACTAGATCCCCAGGAGCACCTCTAACCCACCTCCCCCTGCCACCTCCCAACTGGCTGCCCTAGCACCCACACAGCACAGAGAGCCTATTTTGGCACTTCAAAGCCTCCCTTGGTTTTCCCATAGGCCCCCAGCTCTGGCCATCACTTACAGCATCACCTTCCTCCTCTTCCTTCTCCTCCTCTTCATCTGCTTCTCAGAGTACTTGACGGTAAGGTGGATGGGGGTGGTAGGGGCAAGCTGAGCCAAGACATGACCTGGCTTGAAGAATGTAACCCAGCCCAGTGGTTAAGACACCTGTGCTCCCTCCACAGAGGTGTGTCCAGAAAGGTCCCAAGATGCTGCATTGGCTACCTGCACTGTCTAACCTGGTAGCCACACGGCCTGGACTGCGAGTAGCCCTGGGCACTGCCACCATCCTGCTGGTCTTTACCATGGCCATCACTAGCCTGGTGAGGGCAAAGGAGGCCCTATTCACCTCCATCAGTGACTGAAAAGGGATCCCTGGCTTTGGGAGGGCAGCTGAATTTAGGCCAAAAGAAAATGTTGTAAAAATATAAAGGAAAAAATTATAGACTCCCACAACCTATCATCTGAGCATTATTATTATTAATAACACATTGACATCTTTCCTATCTTTTTCCTATGTGGGCAGATACTTATTACTTTATTTAGTAGGCTGGTTTTTACAGAACTTACAATAGTTCCTAGAATTCTATCTGTGAAATGCAGCAGGAAATTATCCCCCAGCCAAGATACAGAAAAGGAAACTAAGGCTCAGAGAGGTTAAGCAACTGGGAAGAGCTGAAAAGGTGCATCCATGGCAGACTAGTACTCAAGATACCCTCCTACACTCCCTTCCCTCAGTGAGGACCCAGGCTGAGGCTTGCTCACCAACCAGAAATAACAGAATCTGCCTTTTGTGGGAGTCTGGCCCTAACTCATCCCTAGGTTGGCCAAAACTCAGCTAAAGCCACCATTGTGCCCAAGGAGCTGCCTGCCCCCTCATCTTCTCATCTCCTTCTGCAGTTCTTCTTACCAGCATCATCAGACTGCCCTTTTCAGGGCCTCAATGTATCCTCCATGGCTTTCAACCTCTCCTGGGAACTGCCCGGTTCCCTGCCTCTCATCAGCGTCCCAGTGAGTATTCTGCACAGCCCTGCATCTCCCTCCCCAGAGCCTTCCTCAGTAACCCCACCTCTAGAGTTGAGGCACACTCCTTACTATGGATTGGAACTGTGTCTGTGTGGATGACATTCCTGTCCCCCTGATAGAACCTGGGCCCTAGAAAGAATAGGACAGGAACCCTTGGGTGTCCTATGGGACACGCCCACTCCTGATCACCTTGCCTGGCCCCACAGTACTCCATGCACTGCTGTGTGCTGGGTTTCCTCTCCTGCTCCCTCTTTCTGCACATGAGCTTTGAACTGAAGCTGCTGCTGCTCCTGCTGTGGCTGGCAGCCTCCTGCTCCCTCTTCCTGCACTCCCACGCCTGGCTGTCTGACTGCCTCATCGCTCGTCTTTATCTAGGCCACATGGACTCCAGGTATGCATGGCCACTGGACAGTGGTTTTCAGGACCTCAGGGAAGGGGGTCAGAGAGGACACAGCAGAGCTGTCCTGGCCTCACTAACCTGAACCACCCACAGGGCAAAGGAGGAGGGGGGATGAGGGGTTACATGGACAAGGGAAGAAGGGACAGGGAGGTGGCCATCAGGAAGGGGCAAAGCAAGGGACAGCCCTGATCTGTGGCCTCCTCAGACCTGGAGTGCTGAAGGAACCCAAACTGATGGGAGCTATTTCCTTCTTCATCTTCTTCTTCACCCTCCTTGTCCTGGCTCGGCAGGTAAGTCCTCAGCTCAGCCCTCTAGAGTATGCCTGTGAATGGTGAATCTGGAGTCCCCATATTGGTGACTTTTCTCTCTCATCTCCAGGGTTAAGCCCAAGGGGTGTGCTCTTTGGAAGCTTCTAAGTGAACCTTCCTGTTCCTTTTCTTGCTTTTTCACTTCCCAAGAGGAGTGCCCTCAAGTTCTCTGGTCCCTCTTTCCCCCATCCCCAAATCTGGGAAAGGCCATGCTTTATTTAGTTGGCTGATTAAATCTTCTGCCAGTTCCACATACCCTAGTTTGAATCTAGTTTCCAGAATACTCTCTCCAAGGAGAGTTACCCATTTAGCCTTATCTCTAAGCTGGGGGTAGGGATGTTTCTAGGCATTGTGGAGTGGGGACATGAACACTCAGGAACTGAGGCTTCCCCTGCACTGTGGCTCTTCATGGTCCCCTGCTGACCCTCCCTAGAATGAATATTACTGCCGCCTGGACTTCCTGTGGAAGAAAAAGCTGAGGAAGGAGCAGGAAGAGACAGAGACAATGGAGAACCTGACCCGGCTGCTCTTGGAGAATGTGCTCCCTGCACACGTGGCCCCCCAGTTCATTGGTCAGAACCGGCGCAATGAGGTAATTCCTTATCTCTGGCTCCTAAGCCCCAGATGCTATAGGGAGTATGTTTGGATGAAAGCCTGGGCCCTTGTCCCATCCTCTCTGGACTCCCCCACAGTGGGTCAGACATTCATCAAGCCCTGTCCCTGTCAGGCAGGTGCCTCCATTTTCACAAGATTTTGAACTCTGTCTTTGGTGAGGACAGAATTTCTGCATTTCAAGTTCTTACTTGGGAGCGTGTCTTTTCCAACTCATTACCACTCCATACGTTTCTTTAGTCACATGTTGATGATAGTTATTTGGAGGATGTAATTCATCCATCTCTCAAGACTTAGTTTCTAATATGGTAGCCATTAGCTGTATATGGCCCTTCTAATTTAAATTTAAATTAATTAAAATTAAAAATTCAGTTCCTCTGTTACATTAGCTACATGTCAGGTACTCTATAGCCACATATGATTAGTGCCCATCATATTGGACAGCACATGATGGCAGAAATTCCTATTGGATGCTGCTGCTCTAGATACTCAGAAATCTTGCTACTATCAGACCATTGGAAAGTTATTGAATTTTGCACTATCTTTTTTGTGCCACCATCACCTGACACTCTTTACTGTGGAAATGTTCTTGTCATATACTGGAGGAAGTTAAAAGAAACACTTCAAGAGCTATTTCACAGACTTGTGTCCCTACCACCTACTCTCTGATCTCAAAATCAGAAGTAGTTCTACTTCTGGTTTCTTCTCTTGTGGACACAGGAAATTTTGTAACTGGTTCTGTTTCTTTCTTCACATTGGCTGTTAGAAAACTCAGAACTGGAATCTAGGATTAACAAGGACTTCATGGCACCCATTTTGTGAACTAATCTCAGACCTGCTTCCATCTTTATCATTTTACTCTAATTTTCCCTTTTTGTCATACTCACCGCTGATGCTTTATTTTGTGTTCCAAACTTTGGCTATTTTTGTAAGCTGATTTATCTGACTTAACATCTTTTAGCAATAATTTAGCAATAATTCCCACTGACATGATCCCGAGTCTAAGAGTGAGTCCCTTCATATATATAGCTATGAGGTTATCCTGACCCCAAATCTCTTGTCTTTCCTGGAATCACAACAACACCAAATCTTTGATTCCTGAGTCATATCCCTAGGATAACCTGGCCCTACTCCTTTCCCTCCTTCTCAATGCTTCTTAAATAGAGGGACAAAGAGTGTGGCTTCAGTAAGGAGGACCCCGTACAGACCCAGAAAGGGAAAGCACATGACATACACCCCTCCCTCACCTCAGCCTCCTGTCCACTCCAGGACCTCTACCACCAGTCCTATGAGTGTGTTTGTGTGCTCTTCGCCTCAGTCCCGGACTTCAAGGAGTTTTACTCGGAATCCAACATCAACCACGAGGGGCTAGAGTGTCTGCGGCTACTCAATGAAATAATTGCTGATTTTGATGAGGTGACAACTCCAAAGGCCCCCCAGGACCTGTGTCCTGGGTTCTGGAATTTCCACTAGTACCTCCTTCTACTTTACTTTCTGGCCATGAGGCCAATTCTATCCACCACTCACAGTACCCCCTCTCTTCCTCTGATGCCACATATCTACTCCCTCCAGCAAATTGCTGACTATCAACTCTCTCCTTCCTACCACCATCCCCTATTCTACAGCCTGGTCCTTTAGCCTCCAAAGGCCTGAGGCTGAGCTTCTGGGAGAGGGGAGGGTGAAAGCAAGAGAGACTAGAGACAAGGCCTCCTCTCTGTACAGCTGCTCTCCAAGCCCAAGTTCAGTGGGGTGGAGAAGATCAAAACCATTGGCAGCACCTACATGGCAGCCACAGGCTTAAATGCCACCTCTGGACAAGAGGCCCAACAGGTATAACAACCCTTCCTTACCTACCAACCTTCCTTTGGGCTCTCACTGGTGGTCCCATGAGTGGGACTTATTCCTGTGCCCTCATTGGCCCATCCTGGTGGGCGGGCCCATTGCCAGGATGCTGAGCGAAGCTGCAGCCACCTTGGCACCATGGTGGAATTTGCAGTGGCCCTGGGGTCCAAGCTGGACGTCATCAACAAGCATTCATTCAACAACTTCCGCCTGCGTGTGGGTGAGAGCCCCCCCCCCTTGTTGGGGTAGTGTGGTATCTCTCACCTTCCCAAGCTCTCCCCACTCCAAGTGCTTTGTTCACTGCACTGCACCCCATCCCTGGACCCCCTCGCCAGACTCACTCCTATGAATGAAGCATAAAGCTGCTGGGCCAGGAGCTAAAAGGCATGCCCCCCCTCCTTTCCCTCAGACCCAATCCTCCAGCCCCAGAGACCCCTCCTCTCCTTTAAGTCCCCCCAGGTCCTTCCTCCTTCCCAGTTCCTTTAGCTTCCTCTTCCCTTTTCCCTCTTCAAAGTTACCCCATCAAACTGGGCACAGTGGTGCATGCCTGTAATCCCAGTGACTGAGGCTGGAGGCTGAGGCAGGAGGATCACAAGTTCAAAGCCAGCCTCAGCAATGGCAAGGCACTAAGCAACTCAGTGAGACCCTGTCTCTAAATAAAATACAAAAAAAGGGCTGGGGATGTGGCCCAGTGGTCAAGTGCCCCTGAGTTCAATCCCTGGTACCAAAAAACAGTTCCTCCCATCAGGGTTCCTCTTTACCATTTTCCTTCTCAGGACTGAACCATGGACCAGTAGTAGCAGGAGTGATTGGGGCTCAGAAGCCACAATATGACATCTGGGGCAACACAGTGAATGTGGCCAGCCGCATGGAGACTACAGGAGTCCTTGGCAAAATCCAAGTAAGTAAACCACATTGGAGGCATGTGGGGAGGGGGACAAGGATAGGCATGCCCCATACTCCCTCACACCGCCCCCTCCAATTGCAGGTGACTGAGGAAACAGCCCAGGCTCTGCAATCCCTGGGCTATACATGCTACAGCAGGGGTGTTATCAAGGTCAAAGGCAAAGGGCAGCTCTGCACCTACTTCCTAAACACAGACTTGACACGATCTGGACCCCCTTCAGCCACCTGGGCTGAGACCTCTCATCCCTTCTAAGATCCTCAATAAAAAGACTCTGGAGGGCTGGGGTTGTGGCTCAATGGTAGAGTATTTTTCTAGCATGTATGAGGCACTGGGTACAATTCTCAGTACCACATAAAAATAAATAAAAGTCCATTGACAACTAAAAAAGATATTAAAAAAAAAAACTCTAGGATGTCTAATGCCAATTGATGTCAGAAGTTGTGGATGCAGCTGAGAATCACCCCTCAGTTTCTTTTTAGGTTAAACTGAGTATGTATACATGTGTGTGCACATGTACCTAAGCAAGTGGGAAGGGAGTGATTGTTTTCACTAGCTCAGGAGAGGACTCTCTTGGCCGGCCTGCCTACACACTAACCAGATTCCAATATTTTGTATACCTTGGAAACTTAAAGAATTTTAGGCACATAATTCAAAACAAAGATATGTCCTTTCCTGCCCCTACTCACAAACACTGGAAAGAATTTCCAGGAAAATGACATTGAACTTTTATTCATTCAACATAAATGCAGAATGGGCAAGAGGCCTACAAAATAATCTATTAGGTTCCTTCCAGTCTCAGCTGCTATTTTCAAATTGTCCCACCATGCTTTCTTGTAAAGACCTGTAGACAAATTTAGGAGTTCTCCTGTACTCAGGGCCATTGGATGCCTGCCTTGCTTGCTTCTGCATCTTTCTATGCAAATGCTGATATAAAACATGTGACTTAGGTCAATGCTTCATTCTCGCCTGCTCATATTTTGAAGTCCACAGGAGATATCTTAATACTCTGCATTTGTTACAGATGTTGCGCATGGACTTTTGGTTTTCCTATTCTCTCTCTCTCTCTCTCTCTCTCTCTCTCTCTCTCTCACTCTCTCTCTAATGGACTCACATTGGTTCTTTGTCTGTTTGTTTGCTTGTTTTGTCTTGTTTTTTATGGGGAGGATCCACAGAACACAGCACTGCCACTGCTGCTGTCATCATCCTAAAATGTCATCAGAACAAAGCTGGGCCAAAGGTGCTCCAAGACAACAGTCACCCCTATGAAGTACTAGCTCATCCCTCTCACTTAGGGGAGTCTTTGTTTCCTGTGGGTGACCATAGCCACAGAGGGCCCTCAGGCTCACTCTGTACCAGGGTATATTGTGGGGCTGGTAGATGCTGAGATGCAGAATTCTAGGAGACAAGATGTAATGACTTTCATCTCAAATGAGAACTCCTTGGGAAATGGAGGAAAGGAAGGTAATGCCCTAGACCATCTGCTGAGAGGATAAAGATTCCTAGCAGGAAGCTGGACACTTACCAGGGTGTCAGGGAAGATGTTTCACAGCAGCACATTATCTCAGAAGGTTCCCTGAGTCATAAGCCTGCAATGAGAAGCCTACATGGGTGGTCTTTTTTGACAGTCTCCTTCAGTAGTCTGTGAACGCTGTTCAAAGTGGGATCTGCAGATCACCTACCTCAGAATCTCCTTTTGTTCTCTTTCCAAAACTGGAAATCACGGGGAACTAAAGAATGTGACTCTCAACAGTTGAGAAGAATCTCACCATGGTGCCTGTGAGCACTCCTACACCCCATAACACACGTGCCCCCACTCACAGGGTTGACGATTTCAAACTTTGAGTTTTAATTGTAAAGCTTCCTGCAGGAATCTGGCCAGAGAATGCTCTCTCATTCTGCCCTGACTTGCCCCACCCCACCCTCTTCTTTCCGCCCCACCCGGTCTCCCGCGCAGATTCTTCTCCCCGGGTACAGAACTGGGTCAGGCAAGCGTGGGATTCTCCGAGGAGGAAAGCGAGCTTCCTTCCACCAGATCTCATATAGTTAGCTTCATTGGAGAGGCTCAGAGGAAGCCGTGATGCTCTCGGCGGGTGCAGGCTCCGGAGAGAGAATGGCTCCCTTTACGGTCTGGACCATGGTGCCGCCGCGGCGTGTGCTGGACACCTCAGAGCCGGTGCCCTCCAGCAACTTGGCGACGAAGCCCAAGCCGGCCGAGCGCAGCAGGCCGCCGCCGGCGCACGCGTACAGCACCGGGTTCACGCTGCTGCTCAGGAAGGCCAGTGCGATGAGCACGTGGCGGGCCAGCTGCAGCCGCTCCCCGGCGGGACCCGACCCAGCGCGCAGACCCGCTAATGCGCGGAACGCCTCGGCCAGGTTCACCACGTGGTAGGGCAGCCAGAAAGCGGCGAAGGCCAGGATGATGAGTGCCACCAAGCGGCCGGTGCGGCGGCTGCGACGGAAGCGCCGCGCCCGCAGCCTGCGCCCGATGTCGGAGTAGCTGGCCACCACGGCCAGGAAGGGCAGCAGGAAGCCGGTGAAGGCCTCGAAGAGTAGATGAAATGCCCTGTGCCTTTCGTTGGGGTACTTCGGGAAGCACACCAGGCTCCTGTTGTTCAATCCCAAACTCACCGTGCGGTATGCAAGAACTGGCGTGGCCAGCAAAAAGGACACCACCCAGATAGCTGCCAACAACGGCCGGACAATCTCTTTGGTGCGCAGCTTCTGGGACATAAAGGGACGGGCCACAGCCAGTGACCGGTCCAGACTCATGACTGTAATAAACAACACACTAGCATACATGCTGACTCCACAGATATAGTGGCACAGCCGGCAGCCGGCCACTTTGAAACTCCAGGTGCCACGAGCCAGGAAGTGCAGGAAAAAGGGAGCAGTGAGCAATACGGCCAAGTCGGCCAAGGCCAGGTTCAACACCAGCAAGGCAGTGACAGAGCGTTTGTGCATCCTTTTCAAGATGCTCCACACCACAAAGCTATTGCCAGGAAGCCCCACAGCCAGTGCAATTGACAGTAAGATGATAGCCAACAGAGATATGAGCATGACACCTCGTGAGGAGGATGCAGCAGGAGATGTAGTGTTCGTGGCCATCACAATGACCTGGAAGTGAGGGTGGACACTCATAAGGGCAGGAAGCCAAAGGTTTCCTGACTCCCTGACACACTTAGCCTGAAAATGCTGATCTGTCTTCAAGATCAGCATCATCAGAGGCACCTCTGAAACTGCCCCATCACCACCAACTGACCTGACTTAAGGGGATCCGGTTGAGTAGAAAAACTAGTTTCCTAACTGGGCCACGGGGCCCCTTCCTGTTCACAGACCCAATTACAAAATAAACAGCCATCCCCAGTAACAACATTTTCATATCTTTTCAGACTCCTTTCTTGAAGTCCAGAATCAAACTGGGAGATTTTCCTCACCAGTGCTGTACCTTTTGAAAGCACCCTTGTCCCCTGCCTGAACCTTAGCCCCTCAGTCCCTTTGACTTCTTCCAATCACCTTCCCACTCTGACCCCAGAGACTTCCAGGGGTTCACCAGAAATAACAGGGATGGGGATGGAGTTAATGGGTAGGCTTTGAGGTCAAATCCTCCCAACTCCGTTTACACTGGTTGGGCTTTCTTTAGAGATTCCTTTGCACGTTCTCTCATGGCTGTAGCTGGTCCCCCACACCACCTTCCCAGTTTCTAGAATACTTACTTATAAGCTTTGCCAAACAGCTGAAAGCTGATGCCAATCCCAGAGCCAGGGCAAGGTGGTATAGCTTAATCTGGATCTGTCCCAGTGTCGGAGGCGTGGGCCTTGGTATGAGTGCTATCAGCTAAGTCAACCAGAGAGGAAGTACCACAGAACAAGGGAGGGGGAAGACACATCTTCCTGAGGGTGGGGCTGAAACCCCCACCCCCTCCCTTAACTGGGAGGAAGGGGGATAGTCTTTGTGCTCCAGGGCAGCCCAGCTAGAAGGAGGACTCCTGAGGGGTGAGATGCAATGAAAAAGAACCCAGGAAAGGGCATTAGAAGAGGAAATAGGGGTGCCAGTATGAGTTGGCTGGGGTGTGGTCTAAAGATGCAGGTCTAGACTGGAAAATTGAGCAAAGTTATGAATTACAGGAGGAGGGAAGAAGGCAGGAGAGGGGAAACAGGCTCAGACTGAAAGGCTAAAATGCCAATATCCAAATTTTTTCCTTAAATTTTTCATATGTTTCACAGGTACAATGTAGATCTTTAGATAAATGAGATGTGTAGGTTGAAAATGTAAGAGATTTGGGGTCTGGATGTGAGTTAGGTAACATTGTGATTTAAAGATAGCATGTTGGTAAACCAAAGAGGGCAGCATCCTGTTCTTGGCTTCAGTTGGGCCATGATCCTGCTTGTGGGAAAAGAGCCCTCTCCCCAGCACCTACCATCTCTCCCTTCATTTAAGGGGATTGGTTCCATTCTATGTTAACCAGTTCTCCATTCTCTGTTGTAGAAACCAGTCTAAGTGGTCTTCTTGGTACCATACAGAATGCAAATTTCTTCCCCTTCCCCTTCCCCCAACCACTTGCCTTGTGCTTGCCCATGTGGCTACCCTGCCAAGTTTAGATTTTTAAGAATAAGCGGCTGGGCAAGGAGACCAACATCACTTCTTTCCTGTATTCCCACAGACTTAGGTGGTCCAGTTCCACTTGTGAAAAGTAGAGGCTGAAGCCCTGGGCTGAACATGAGAAGCAGAAGCAAGGGCACAGTGACAAGAAATGCCTCACACCAGCCCTACCAAGAGAGAAATCCAGGAATATGAAAAGAGAAAGAGTCCCTTCTTTTTCCTGAATGGAAGGATGCCTTTTCTCCTTGAAATCTCCTGTAGAACATAAAAATTAAGAATACCTTCCTGCTTCTGTTTCAACCCTGTCACTTCTCAAGAAAGTTGCAAGGTCCCTGATATCTCACAGTGCTCCTACTTGCTCTGCTTTGAGAAAAGCCAGAGCAGAGTCGACCCAGTAATTGTCAGGCAAAGGATATGATGAAAAGAAATGGGCTGAAACCACAGCAAGAACTGAAGGCAGGGCTGGGGCTGGGGCTGAGTGGTAGAGCGCTTGCCTAGCATGTGTGAGGCACTGGGTTCAATCCTCAGAATCGCATAAATAAATGAAATAAAGGTATTGTGTTCATTTACAACTAAAACAATTTAAAAAAAACCTGAAAGCAGAGTTGAGGAAGGGCTCTCTGACCAAGCTGGGTGAGAGAGATGGGGAACATGTAACAGGAAGTTAGGGAACCTCTTTCTGCCCTAGAACACCAGGACCGGAAGAAGCCTGTGTTTGGAAAAAGAAGCTCTTGGCTCAGAGCTCCAGGAAGAAGAAGCCCTTCAGACAGAAACTGGGCTGTCTTTGCCTCCCTTCTCAAGCTATTCCCCACCCCCATCTTCCTTGAAGGTCTTTCTTCTCCCATCAAGGACTAGGCACTCTGAGCCCAATCCCTGTCACCCTAGTTCATTCCAACCTTAGTTTTGGTGACCCTGGCATGACCCTGGGGACTGGATTTCTTTTGCTGTCTTGACATCAGCCTGGAAGATGTGAAGATTTACTAAAGCAGGGCCTGGCTTAATGGCCAGAGTAACCACTCATGTGACCAACCATTTCAGTTTGTTAGGGGGATAACAGGACTGGGATAAGGGATTTACAGTGCTAACCTGAGAAAGTTCTGGACCAACTGGGATGAATTGGTCACCTGTGTGCTTGTGGATGGTCCCTGAAAACAAATCCAATGCTACACCCCCAAATTAAAAGTGTGAAGATCCAAACAGTTTTTAGATCCAGAAATAGAAAAATTCCAAAAGATAGGGCTAAGAAATATTGAAGGAGGGATTAGGAATAGCTAGCAGTCTTGGGAGAAGATAAAACTTAACAGAGAGAGGAGTGAGGAGGGGAAGGAGAAGAGAGGAAAAGAGAGGAGAGGAGAAGAGAGGAGAGGAGAGGGAAGGGGAGGGGAGGGGAGGGAAGTCCTCCCTCCCTGAAAAATTCTTCCTGTTTTCCAATATTCCTGTCATTCCTCATAATCCCTTAACTTCCAAACAACCCCTGGTGAAGCAAGAACAGGCTCCTGAGCTCTTTTTCAAGTTAAGTTGCTTTGGGGGTGGTCAGAGAGGGACATAAATCTCAGATTTCCAGGCCCCTACACCACTGCCCACCCATGTGCCTCTTTGTACCAACAAGACAGGTAAAACAGACCAATATCAATGGAGGAAATAGAAGAAACCATCAAAAGACTACCAACTAAGAAAAGCCCAGGACCAGATGGGTATACAGCAGAGTTTTACAAAACCTTTAAAGA